AAAGAAAAAGGAGAAAAAAAAAGAAGTTCGGCTAGAATGCTCCTTTAGCGACAAGGATGGCAAGACTGTCTCACATACTTTGGACATGTCAGGAGAGACCCATCTCTGGAGAAGGACATCATGCTGGGTACAGGGTCAGCAAAATAGAGGAAGACCTTCAACAAGATGGCCTGACACAATGGCTACATAGATGGGCTCAACATAAGAATAATTGTGACGATGGCAGAGGGCCAGGTAGTGTTTTGTCCTATTGTATATAGGGTGGCTTTGAGTTGGAATCTAACAACACTAAACTAAAGGTTGGTTATTAGAAGCCAGCAGTGCCACAGTAAAAAGGTCTTGTGAATGATCTGCTTCCAAAAAGAGGGAAACCCAAACACCAAACCCATTACTGTTGAATTGAGTCCAACTCATAGCAACACTCTATAGGTACATTTTTACAGGTCCAGATAGCCTCATCTTTCTCCCCACACAGTGGACAGTGCGTTTGAAGCACTAACACTGCAGTTAGCAGCTCACTGTCTAACCCACATTGCCACCAGGGCTCCTATCCATAAATATTACCACTAAGAAAATTCTGCGGAGTTGTCCTATTCAGTAACACATGGGCTGCCACGAATCAGAATCGACTTGACGCACTGGCTTTGGTTTTTGATTTCTTCACTAAAAGTAGAAGCAGTGGTGGTGCAGTACTTAAAGCGCTTCGCTGATAACCGAAAGACTGATGAGTTGAAGCCATCAGGTGCTACCGAGTTGGTTCCGACTCACGGCGACCCCAGGTATAACAGAAAGAAATACCACCAAGCAGTTCTACTCTGACCTACAGGGTCACTGTGCGTTGGAATTTATTTGACAGCAACAAGTTTGATTTGGGTGTTCACTAACAATATACGTTGTTAGTGTGTACTCTACCTCTCCATCTGTATTATCTCTCACAAGTCATAGCACTACCATATCCCCAACCACTCACCCATGCCAGAAATCAGTCGGACCATCCCGGATTCCTTCTCCTCTACATTCCATTGAGCATTAAATCTATGCTGCCTTTTTTTTCTTTATGCTGCGTACACAGTGCTCTGGCCAATCCTATTGCTTGGGTCCTAATTTCAACATGATATTGTTGAATCTGAAAGTAATTCAGATTACTTTCTGAACCTTTAGTCTTCCAAGAACAGCTGACACCATTTTTGTCTCATTTGGACACTACTGGTAAGAAACACACATATTTTTAAAATTTATCTGAGAGAAAATTTAGTATCAGCCTCAAAATCAGAAGACTAGCGTCATACTCCACATATTAATAAACTCATTCAATAAAATGAAAATAAAGCGTCCTTAAATTCTAGAATTAGTGCTCTTAAATTTTAGAAATCCAACAGAGTTGGAATGGGGAAGGAAGGAACTCCCTGGTCTTACTCTTCCTCCCTCTAAGTCTTCCATTAATATTGGGGATAGAAGATAAGGAAAGGAGGCTGCAGAAGTCAACTGTGCCCTCTCCTAGACTGTCATCCTGGGTAGGAATGGCTATGACTAAAACTAAGGGAATAGTGTCCCCAAACCACAAGTCTTAACTCAGAAAGAGTTGATGCTGAAGGAGTTACACATTTACCCTGTCTTTCCTATGGGAAATGTATTTGTTTAAAAATAACTAAATAGCCCTACCTGATGAGGAAAGAGATCTTAACTACAAAAGAATGTCAGTTAGTAATGAATGTACAAAGAATAATCAATCAAGAAATACAACCACTCCTAATGAATTGAATGATTAAGCCAATGAAGCTAAAACACATAGGTAGCAAAATGATGGCAAACTAGATATATTGGCATGGTTCCAAAGAAATACTTGCTTTCACAAGGGGGAAAACATTACTTTATAACATTACAAGTTGCCAACTTTTTAACAGTATAGAGGCCGGGTGGGGGTGGAATTTTTAACACTATAAAACATTATGGACTTTTTTTGTTTGGACTTTTTATAAGATGCCATGTGAAATACACATGCTTATCTACAAAATAATTTTCCCAAAAAAGTTAAACCTGAATCTAA